GGATTGCAAACTCCGGGAGAGGTGGCATCCGTTGCATGATGCAAAAAGGGATAGATTTCAAAAGTTGAATTGGCAGCAGACCGATCGCCTTTCGCGCCCAGGCCACCTCCACGTCCAATACCCGCGGGAAAGGCCGGGAATCGTTTCCAAACACTGCCAGGGCTCTGCCGGGTCACCCTCCACAAGACACCCTACCTGCTCCCGGGGCGCTCCCGTCCTTTGGTCCCCTGGACAATGACTGGGGAAAGACGCATCTGCTGCAATTAAAGATGTTAAAACTAGAACGCGTGTTTGATTAATGATCACCTCGATCATAGCTCTCTCCTATTGTTTAGCTTGGCTCCGAAATGAAAAAGAGCCTTCGTGAAATAGGCAAATGACCTGTGAAGTTTCTTGAGGCTTTAAGATGCTTGGTAGGAAGTCAAAGATTAAAGTTCTTTAAGTACATTGTTATTCACATGTCCAAGTTAACAGGGCACCCTACCAGGTGTTTGAATCCACCTGGAAGGGAAGTTTCTTGGGCATTTAAGATGCTTGGTAGGAAGTCCAAGATTAAGCCCCTGTAGGTGCATTGTTATTCGCATGTCCAAGTTAGCGTGGCATCCTCGTTTGAGTTTGACTCCACCTCCAAGGGAGAGCTTCGCCTTGGGAAGTAACTCCCCCCCCCCCCATTTTTCAAAACCAATGAACTGCTGATTAAAATGAAGCAAAAATGCTCTATTTGTACATCCCTAGGGCACCTCTTAAAAAGGGCATGTAAAGTTCGAGAGTAGTTTTGCATTTTCCAAATTTTTGAAAACCCAATGTTGTTGATCAGCAAACTCTGCCTTGTGGTCACAGTGTTTTAATCTATGGATGCAGAAGAAGGCAACCTACAAGACTGGGTGGATGTGGGATCTTTTCCCCACTACAATAAGTTAGGAACAAACACTGGAGCCTGTTAAGACAGGCAAACCTGGATTTGCCTCTAAGCCACCTGGGAAGACACACACCACTCCCCAGGTAACTTCCAAATCTCCAGAGTCAGCACGCAGAGAAAGCCTGTCTTGGTACCATTATTCCCGTCTCGAAGCCTCAAACGTTTTCATTCCAGTGTGTATTCTGGACCGCCTTGAGTTACTGTTGCTTTCCAAAATAAAAATTTAACAACTAAAAATAATTGGGGGGAAATAAAGAAATAGTGGGGCGGGGGTGCGGTTGTGGAGAAGAAGGCAGAAGTGGATAGGGCCCAATGGAAAGCTTTGTGGGTTGTGCTGTCTGGTCTTTATGCAAGTCAGCAGATTTGCTTTTTAGCAGTTTGGGTCTGATGACTTTGTTGAACACTGTCCTGTACCAGAAACCACTAGCAACCGGACCACGTTTGTAGCTAAGAGGTTATTGGCCGTAGTTGAGATGGAAGATGGAGTTCGAAGTGAAGTAGCGGGGATGGGAAAGAATGAAGGGGGTTCTGGTGGGATGTGAGTTCGTGTGTGGTCAAGAAAACCTCTGTCCTTTGAGGACCCACGTGTGCTTGCCCCAAGCCGGGGTATTTCCAGTAACCTCATACTCATGGGTGCAATTCTGGACTCATCTGGAGGGGCTGAGCCCGAGGGGCATCATGCTTGGTAAACAGAATGTCAGCTACAAGGAGGAAGACCCTCAACGAGATGGACTGGCACAGTGGCTGCCACATGCGCTCAAACAGCAACAAGTGGGAGGGCGGTGCAGGACCGGGCAGTGTTTTATGCTTCTGTCCACGGAGTCAGTGTGAGTGGGGAGTGGCTCGGTGGCACTTACCACCACACAGTGTAGGTTCCATGTCAAGCAACAACGAGTGGTCTGAAAAGTGAGGGGCTGAAAGAGCAAAGATTCCCAGTTTTAATGGACTGAAATAGGGAATAACTGGAGGAGAAACAATTCAGCTTTGGAAATGCTAAATATCGGATCCCAGCAGGAGATTTCAGGCAACAAGCAATTAGTAAAATTGG